ACAACCTCACTACCTAAAGCCTGGTCCTCAGATCAGCAGCTTTGGGATCAATGGGGAACTTGTTAGAATCCCACCATCTCAGGCCCCACCTAAGAAATCCTGGAACCAGAAAGTGACTTTGAACAAGATGCCCATTCTTGCTGTTCACACATTAATAAGTTTGAACACTGCTTTAAAAATAATTAATCCCTTGATGAAAACTGAAGCTTATATAGAACCAACTTGACTGTAATAATAAAATCAGGGACAATCTAGCAACTGTTTATTCCTAAGCCTCCAAGCCAGGTTTAGCCACTTCAGAGCTTTGAGAAAAACACATAACTGCTACTCCTAAACTTGAAGAAAAGGACGTACATCTTGCAATATAATTTGCCAAATACTAAAAAGGGAAATTGTGCCACCAGCAAAATAAATCTATTTGAGGTCGCTTGGTTATTAATAAAAAGAAGGAAAAACAGGCACAAAAATAAGAAAACATAACAGTGAGCTTTGGTGTGATGAATAGAATGTGTTGCCAAAGACCTGACTCCAAAAGTCCAAAGCAGGGCAGCAAGTGCCACCAGACCAAGTGAAGCAGCTGGGGCGAGGTGTGTGATGAGACACCTTCCAGAGGTGTCACTGAGGCCAGGGTAGTTATCAAGAGCTGGGGGTGAAAGAGGAAACTGGAGTGTTTATACCTTTTCCTACCAATACACCAGTCGTCAACATACCACAAGGAAAAGAGCATACCTTACCCCTACCTCATATTTATTCTGGCAATCACTCCAAATGAAGACAGGAAAAGTCAGTCACATGCACATAAAAACTGAAAGCAAAAGTTTTCTACTAGCGATCATTCTTTGGCAACCTTTCTTAGTTATTTGGCTGAAAATATACTGATGCTTTGAGAAGCAAAGGTCTGTGTGAAAAACGCATTAACATACTTAAAACAGGGTCTGGGAGAAAATCTCCAAGAGGAACTTGCCATTAGTTTGTGATAGAAACTAAAGCCATAAAATAATTCAAGTAAACCTTTATCAACCCTAGGGGTACGCGGAAAATAAATACATTTATGCCTGGGCTGCTGTACCCAGAGATAATCAAGGAAAAAAGGGTTATCATAACCAACTAGATGATATCAGAACTCAATGGCTCCAGTAAATTTAGGGGTGAAATGATTTGACTATCCCAACATAACATTTTCCTTTGAGATTCTCTGGGAAGGCAAAGAAGAAAACTAAGCCTTACTGAGCATCTACTATGTGTTTCACATGTGTGATTTCATAACATCCTCRTAATCCTCCGAGGGAAGTGATATTCCTCCTATTTATCGATGAGGAAAGTGAGGAAATATTTCACCCAAGGCATACAGCTAATTTAAAACAAAAAAGATAAAGCTCAGTCAATATTAAAATGCTACAAGTAGATTGCTCAACTGAGAGCATGGACAGAATCAGAGTTTGGGGTGCTATTTTTTTTAAGAGGGTAAAGGACTGTTCTGCCTAGACACTAGTGTAAATAACTGAGGTTTCTCTTAGTACATGTCTTTATACTGCTGGCATCCTCTTATCACCCATTTCTGGACGTGCCTTAGGTTTCAGATGTATTTTGGACTTGGTGGTTGTAATTTTGGCTAAGTTGGAGGGTTTAGAAGACTTGGCACTTTTCAGGCAGTGTTATGTAATGGAATTGAGCCCTGGCTGGAATTTGGAAACCTGGGTTCAGTTCAGGYGGTGTCACTTATTAACTGAGTGGTCAAGTTGCATGGCTCTCTCGGGTGCCAGTATTTTATCAACTACATGACGTTGAACCAAGTACCCTGAAGGACTTTCCTGGCTCCACAATTCAACTCTCCTTGACTCAACTGTTTACAACTGTGACTAGCATCAAAATACATTAGAAATGAATTGAAGAGTTGGCAGACTTATACAGGGCAAGACTGTGAGGTAATTCAGGGTATAAAAACCTAAAGAATAATTATCTAACTTCTATTACTCTTGCCATCTGAAAGAGTAATCTGGAATGAAATGGTTTAAAGTGTCTCTTTTTTTAAAGCTCTGCTTTGTATTAGCTCTTTAACTTAACATCTCTGAGTTCCATTCTGTGCTTCCACAGAACTGGAATTGATAAGGAATATTAGCTGTCATGTAGTGAAGTGTCTCGTCTCCAGCAGGAGCATAAGAAGTGCTGGCTGTATTTATTGCAGGGGTCATTAAGGGTTTGGCCTATGGTTGGATAACAGTTCAAAGGAATCTTCTCCATAGAGGGATGGAGCCTGAGATCATAACCTCATTAACACTGGGAACTTGCCATTAACCTGTGTCTGTGCAATAAATAAACTCAGGTGCAGCGTGGAGAAATATAATTGCTCTCTTCTAGACCTACTGGCATTGCTTACTTTCTTTGTCAAACATGCTAATTCACCCTTTAGTGAATAAAACTGGAAGAGAGAGACAAGCGGACACATTTGGTGGCACAGCTGGAGGGAGTATTTGAAGACAGGAAACGTCCTCAACATCTAGAAAACCTAGAAAGAAGCTGTTAAGGTCTTTATTTGCCCATTTTCTAATTTCTACCCTCTGGGCATAAGGAACATAAGGTACCAGGAGGAAGAGAGGGTGGCTTTACTTTGTCTATAAATGAAAATAAACAAGCAAATAAATAAATAAATAAAATGCAAATAAATAACCTATCTGTAAACAACCCATCACTTTGAGGGGCTGCCTTTTGCCTCCATCCCCCCAAAGCTTTTCCTTTCTCTCCCCTGCCCCATCACTCACATACTCTCCTACCTCCTGCCCTTTTCCCTCTCCAGTTTTTTGTGAAAGATCTGTTTCCATGTTGTGAGACTGGTGGAAAGCCTGGGTAGAGAAGATGGATCCAAGGACCCAATTATGGGAAGCCAAAGGGGAGTGCTTCCTATCACGAGACTATACTGCTTGTTTTCTAAAAGATAGACCAAAAGAAAGTTTTGAAAATTTTCTCTGTTTTCTACAAGCAGATTCACCAACTCAAGCCAGCAAGAGTTCAAATGTTTCTAGACATTTTAAAAGAGGCAAGTGATGCCTATTAACCAAAGCCTTCTGAAGTTCAAAAAAGGAAACAAGTGATTGATTACTAATTAAGTGATAATTATTAGAGATACCATGCTAATCTCCAAATTTCTTTTGGCTCTAACATTATGTAATTGGCAGTATAATTTTATTGCTTTAAATAAATTATGGGTTTAGARCTGTAATATTGATGTTTTTATGACACACCACTATCAAAACTAAYCATATATTGGTTGGCAGGTGTTGGCCTGTAAAGGGATCTTCCTGATAATAATAGTGCTCTTTTGGAATATGATTTATTTTCTAACAATCCATGATGAGCAACTTTTACAGGACAAAGCTCCTATAGAGGATGTGTTCAACAACCCCTTAAATGCTTAAAAATGCCTCTTGACTAACTACATTTTTAGAGCTTTTAGCTTGAGTTGGGGGTATGTGGACATTAAAAAGATAATTATCTAAAGGTCTTCTTTAGTAAGTTGTTTCCTATTTCATTTTTTATTACTCCTTTATAGAAAACTCCCTAAGAAGGATTAACAACTGTTACAAATTATTCTACCCACCCCTCAAAAAAAGGAGGGGGAGGGAAAAGGGGGTAAGAGAGGGTTGTTAATTCAGACACAAACTAAAAACATCCTGCTTAAACTTCAGATGTTACCCATTTCCAGGACTTTGGTATTATGTGTCCAAATCTATTTCTGTAGCACCTTTCAGACAAACTGAGGCTCCAGAAGGAATATAACACTTGTAAACATCATACCAAATTATAGTGTTTTTTCAAAGATGCTGTGCAGAGTCAATCAGTCCATGATTTTGTTATGAAGCTTTTGAAGCAATGTCATTGAGATATTTTAACCTAATGGCTCTGGACAACTGCATAATCTCTCCCCATCGGGTTGAAATTTCTACATTCTCTTTTCCCAAACTTTCACTCATTTATCATCTATTCAGACAAAACACGTGCTTGGAAAGTTTCTTCATACATACATGGAATTGCAAAGTAATCCCACAGAGTGGAAAATGATGAACTTTTTGTAAATATACCACTGGCTCCCAATTTGGCCTTCTGACTTGCTCTATCTTGATTTATTCTCTATTTTTTCATATATGAATGTTTAGTATTTTGCTTTTTAAATCTGTTTATAAAATTCTTGAAGCCAGAGATCTCATGATAAAATACTTCTCATTTTTGACAGAGTTATGCTAGAAAGTATACATAAATACTTATATTATTTTCAMTGTTTTACCTAAAAGAGTGGAATTTATTCTTTTGCAGTGGCTGGGCTATTGAATGTTATTATATAAACTGCAATTATTAAGTTGTCCTAGACAAATCACTTAATATTTCTTTGTCTAAAATTTCCYTGGTAGAGAAGAATTTTTGAAGAAGTAGTTTATGTCTTGGATTAAGACAGAACTTCAAAAAAAATCCTATTTGTGCTATTTAGTATAGGGATTAAATGTAGAACTATAGAACTTCCAACTCCTTCCTTATAGCCTGGGGTCAAAAGAGTAGTTTCACTTCATGGGAATTTTTTTTTTAAGGCAGAATGAAAACATAAATGTACAGAATGGAGCACACTGTCTAAGTTCATGCTAAATAAATATCAATTATTATTGTTTCAAGTTCTTTACAGGTCCAGAGTGCTAAGATCAAGACAGAAGTAAACCTCAATTATTGAGTCTCCAGATCCCCCTAGTCTCACCAGACAGAATCTCCAAAGTGGGAAAAAAAAAAGTTTTACAAAAGACAAACTGATTCAAGGCTTGTTTTAATACCAGTTTACTCATAGAATAAAGAGAATAATCACTGAGCTTGTGATATGCATAACTGAGCACACAAAATGACAAAAACAAATCCTTTTAAGACAAATGACTAAGAAACCTGTTCTAAAATGCATGTTCAGAATTAAGACACAGAATGTCATCAGTCTATCTGTGGTCATGGGTTTGCACAAAGACACTGACCTGGCTTGCTGGAAGTGAAGAAGAGAACACCCTGCTCTCAGCTGGACTTACCTGCACAAAAGAGAGAAATATTTTATAAATCTTACTGTCAGGAACACAGTTGTTTGCCCTTCTCCCCAAGAAAGGGTAAAATCCACTTTATTTCTGCYAAGTGCCAGTGTAGAAGTGGCATTTCTATGGGTCAAATATATCTTGAAATAGCTAGGGTAACATTTTGTAGCATTTGTGAAAATACATTTCTGAGCATTTTGGAATGATTAAAGAAAAAAAAAAAAGCATTTGGCCACAAACTCATGGATGGGAACAGTGAAAACTTTATAGGCAGTTTACAATACACAAGTTATAGAAGTGGGCCTGCTATTCCTCCAAAATAGAATTTTTAGACAACAAAATCACAACTAAAGTCTAGAATGTCAGAATAAAGAGAATAATCACTGAATTTATGATATGCATAACTGAGCACACAAAATGCCAACAAAAGCAATTCTGTTTTTTCGTATTATATTTGTATAATTAATAAATTGCATTATTATTTCAATAACATCAATCTGTTATGTGTGTTTCTATTCCTATCTCTGTGATCACACACTGCCAGGTGTACTTAATATTTACACTACCTTCAGAAGCTGGGCAACTAACAGTAATAAGCAAGTTAAGAAGAATATTGACCATGATTTTATTGCTTCCCAATAACTTTTCAAAGCCTTCCATAATGAGATTGACTGGTTGAACTAATATGACCAAATATGATCCAGGAATCTCCCAGGAAACCTAGTTTAATATAACAATTTACTGCCCACTCTACCTGTGGAGCAGTTTGCAGATGTTATTTATGCTGCAAAGAGCTTGTGTTTATTTTCTAGTATCCACTGGCTCTCTAAGCATCTAAAAGCTTATTGGAAAAGAAATGCAAATTTCTAAATAGAGTTTGTATATCAGTTTAACGGCCTATTGACTCTTTACTATCTGATGATAATGACAGGACTCATACAAAGAAGAAAATCACTAAAAACTTAGTATTACTTTTGCAGTTTAGAATGTTTCCTGYAGAATATGCAGCACAGCCCCAGTTCGGGGTGGGGTGGCCCCAAACCAATGAAACCTCAAGCTGAGCATCTGGCTAAAGTTCAACAGGGCTCCCAGAACAGCATAGGTTGGAGGAGTTCAAAGTGAGGGAAACTTTTCTTAACTTCCTAGAGTTTCCGAGATCTTGATGCTTCTGTGTATATATCAACTTTCATGCATTTTTCCCCCAGCAAATGTGTACAGTCAGCTCCAGAGGCACAGCTTGTGTGCTGACGTGCAAAGCCAAGTCAAAACCCTGCGCTTGGCGCTCTCTTCTAACTTTCTGGCTTGTCCAAGTCTAAATATTGACATTGCTCYTCAGTTGAGATGTTTGATACTGCTGGGGATGGAAACGACACAGCTAACTGTAGGATCTAATGATATATTTTTTTACACACTTGTGCTTTCCTTCCATTTCTTTTTGGGGGAGGAGATTGTTTTCTCTTCTCTCCCCCGGGAGTATTTTCCCCGAAAGCTGAGCACACAGATTCAAGGTGAGGTGTGTGCAAGCCCCTCATGGCAGCACCTACCGTTGTCACAGCAACTCAAAACAGACTCCATAGACACGGGGTTTGGGGTGGAAGGGAGGGATCGCCAAATGTGGGCTCCAGTCAACTCTCAAGGGGTGCAAGCGCCAAAAGGGCCAGCGTATCCGCCTTTCTAGGTCCTCCCGTTCCCCACCACTGTCCTTCGAAGAAAAAGAGCTTTCTTGTAGGCGCGGCACCACCCCCTCCCGGCGCAGCCAGCCTGCTAAGGGTGCCGTTGTACATTTTCTCAGCTCCAAGTTAGGGGCGCGGCTGGGCGGGCACTCCTAGAAATCTCTTCTGCTTGCCTCTGATGGGAAGGTACCCGGCCTCACCGAGAGGCGAGGGCGGCCCCTACAGCAGTTTTGTCCCACAACTCACTCTCGGGGTGCTGCTGGCCGTTTGGCACGGCCCCAGGAGCCCCCACCTGCCACCCGCGGGAGCCAGGGCGGTGGGGGCTCCGCGGCTGCTGTTCGRAGAAGTTTCATACCGTAGCGCACTCACGACACAGAACCTACCCTGAAGCCGAGCGAGACGCGAGCTCTCTCCGCCTTCAAGGGCCAGGGGGGAAGCGGGGGGCCCCCGCCACTCAGCAGCAGCCACGGCTGCGCGCGGTCGCGGGTGTGCGCGGCCCCTGCGCGCGGCGCGCCGCCCGCCGCCCAACTTTGCACAAAGGCAGCATGGCACTGTCTCGCCGGCTCGCCCAGCCGCTGCCGCTCTTCCCTGTCCGGGGCKAGAGGGGCTCGCCCCTTTCCACCGTTAGCCCTCCCCTTCTCCTGTCCCCACCCCGCTCCCAGGCGGTGCAGCCGGGCGGAACCGAGAGCCCGGCACCTAGCTCCGACGCGGTGGCGGCCGCAGCTCGCACTGTGACGTTAGCAGCCTTCGAGGCTATTTATATCCACACGATTGGATTTCATTCATGAAACCAGGGCCTGGTGTGTCTGAGCTCTGGTGCGCGGGTGGCAAAGGTGCCTCGGCTTTGCGCAGACCCGAGCGGCCTCGGCTCGGAAGCGGACTACCCGGGGCAAACATGCGCAGAGCCGAAGAGACCCCGGCCCTTCTAGCGAGAGGCCGCGAGGGGAGGGTCTGAAAGATCTCTGCTCACGTCCCCCATTCCCAAAACCCCACCCATTCCCGCACATCTGTTGGCCCTTTGTCCCAGGCTCTGGAAAAGTAAGTTGGGCCACTAACCGGCTGGGTAGCATGGCTTTCTTCCCCTAGGAGCTGACCGGCCGCGGACTCCGAGGGAGGACATTGGCTTTTGTTTCAAAACCGAGCCCAGCTGCTGACTAAGGGCTGAGATAGCCCAGCCTCCTCCTCCCCTGGGCGGCTGCACGTGCTGGCTGGCTCTTGCCTCTCTACCACCTTCCCTTGCAACTTGGCTGGAGGTGTCCACACAGCGGGGCGTAGCCACACACCTCTACCCCGGACTCAAGTAAAGACGAGATTTACAACMGCTTGCAAATGGCTGAGTGAAGAGGTGAAGTTGACTTCTGGTCTCTCAGGTAGTGTCAGAATTCTTGGAAGCCCCCAAACAAGCCTTACCCTCCATGCAAAATTTAACACTCTTCCAGATAGACTGTCCTCCCACCCCCCATGCATTCACATAGTAAATGCTTATAGAGTACCTACAGGATGTTAGGTACCCTGCTAAGCTCTAAGGAGGTGACAGTATATACAACCAACCTATTTCCTGACCTCCGGGAACTTTTAGTCATCCTGCTAAAATTCATATGCCTTAAACCCCCTCACTCACAACCCCTGAACAGACCACTGGGCGATTAAAGGACCACTGTGTTCAGCTTTCTTAAAGGATATAATAATTTAATAAACTTTATTGATGCTGAGTACCAAGGGCTTGGGACACAAACAGCACCAATGTATCCTTGGTCTTTCTCTATATGGAAAGGCAGGGGGGAAAAGGAGCCATATTTTATTTTAAGCGCCATTTATTTGTTCCATCCCATGYCTCCCATCCCCCCCAAACATGAAAGCATTTCAAAAGAAAATAAACTTTTCCATCCCTCAGCCTTTTCCAGGAAAACATCTTCAGTTTCCCAGGTGGATTACTTTCTCCACCTAGAATTCCCGATGAATTTCGGGTCATTAAACATTTCTACTCTCCCTCCATTAGTTTATACATATATTCTCTTCTTAGAGGTAAACACTATGGGCACGGAGAAAATGTTTTACAAGGAAAGGTATCACGGGGAACCTGCTCTGTTTGAACCATACTCACTGCACTATTGTTGGAAACAGAGTTATCAAGACTCTAAACTCTGACACCATGAAGACAGGGCAGTAAAAAGTAAAGTAGGGGTGTCTCAAGAACTACAACACACACAAGGGTCCCATCACTCACTTGGCACAAACTGACTTCCTTTAGTCTATTTTAAAAATGACTCCATTTTGAAAGGCTTAATCAATATATATTCCTTTCAGGAACACATTTCCTGGGAAAAGTTAATTAACCCTGTTCACTCCTAGCAATCACTCCTCTTCATTGCAAGCTATTTCTTTTCAAAATGCCCTAGGGGCTAAGATAGTAACTCAAATGAAATGAGAATCAACATGTGTTACAACCCTCACATGTGGCCAGCACAGGACTATGTGGCATAAAACCTATTTTTGTCATTTAATGGGCACAACAACTGAGGAAGCAGATGCTATTATTATCATAACCATTTTAAAGATAAGGTAACTTAGGTTCAGAAAAATTTATTTCCTAAAGTTTTGACAGTTGTATTTGCATCTGGGTCATTCTGTGCCAAAGTCTTATTTTTATCTCTAACCTGCTTTTTAATATCTTGCCTTTCCTCAGTTTCTTCCATTCCCTCAGTTACAATTTAAAGAGTTAAGTGGCATGTCTCTCTTAAGTAACAGGCAGGTGCTGAGAGCAGAAAGACAMCTACACAAGGACACTAATTGGCAGGCCATTGCCTTTTCCTCCCAGGGTCCGTTAAAGCCCTCAGGCTTCTCAAAGACAATCCTCCTGAAGGGTATAAAGATCAAGTAGTCATTTTGGAATTGCACCTAAATCTAAGGGAAACTCATTGGAAGAGCTTTCAGGAAAATAAACTAGAATCAACAGCAATTCAGATATGAGGAAAAGTCATTATTCTGGAATTCCTTCCAAGCAAGGGCTGGGAGCTAAAGAAGACATTGTCTCATGGTGCTATGTAGCCCCTAAACCTTATACATTAAACCCCCAATTCTGAAAACAGAGAAAATGCAGCAAATTGTAAAGACTGTATTTTGCCAACAGGAAAGAAAAGGAACAAGAGCAAATAATTCCTAGAATCATTGCCATGMACATTATCTCTCATCTTTTATTAGTAGAAAAAAATACATCGTTGTATACTAAAATTGTTTCTTGCTAATAAAATCATAACATTTGCTTTAAACATAAACATTGGTACCTAGGTGGAATTAAGCAAACATTTTGTCTTTAAAGATTATCATGTTTATATTACACAAAAGTGATTTTAAAACTTTTGAGTGACTTTTATAAGTCTTTAGGTGAAAAAATATCCCAAATCTACATATATGTTCTGTAAACACAAAAGAACTCCCTCRTGATACCCCCTTGTTTTGCCTCCCCCATCCATTAATCTGTTCTTCATTTCCAGAGGTTTATCATTGACACATATTAATAGGGACATATAGTAAGTAATGTTTTGAGATTTATTTATTTATTTATTTTTACTAAGCATATACTACCCTTGAGTTTCATCCAAGGTGTTGCATCTATCAATAATTCATTCCTTTTTATTGCTGAATAAATTTCTTTTTTATGGTTATAGCAGTTTATTGATCCAAAGGAAGACATTTGAGTACTTTCCAATATTTTGCTATTATGAAAAACACTGAAGCAAACATTGTGTGTTTTCATGTGAACATAAGTTTTTTTCTTTAGCATGAATGCTCAAGAATTCAACTGCTGAGTCATATACTACATGTTTCATATACTACATATATGTAGTATATGACTGTTAAAGCAGCAACTTTACCACYTTACATTCCCACCAGCAATGTATGAGAGATCTACAAATCCTCACCAGTATTTGATATTATCACTTTTTTTTWAAAAACAAAATTTTGGTTCTGATAGTTGTGTGGACAAGCTATTGTCATTTCAATTTTCACTGCCCTAACAGCTATCATGTTGAACATCTTTTTATGGGTTTATTTGCCATTGTTATCTCCTCTTTGCTGAGATAAGTGTTCATATCTTTTGCCTATTTCACAGCTGGATTGTTTGTATTTTTACTGTTGAGTTTTTAGGATTTTGGGGGGTATATATTCTGGGGTTTCAATTTTCAAATTGTAAATTAAATACTGCATTACAATATAACTTATTTTCTATTCAAMTATTATTGTTCAACATTTTTACTGCCAGAAGTTTTATGAAGAATATTATTAAGTATGGTAAGTACTTACATAAAATTATAGGAGAAAGTCTTCAGGTTTATTGTGTAAGTTTTCATTTCAGCCTTCTATAACGGACACTGATACTGAGACCCCAGCCACGTAGAGCAAAGACCTGGYCTCAGGCGCATGCGCACATGCTACCTCCTGCAAAACAAGCACTCGCCCAACCTAAGGGGCAACTTCCTGCCGGCCATCTTTCTGCCTGGAATACCTAAATTAATGCTGCTATTGGCTTTTTGGAGGAAATTGTCCTAGGTGACAATTTCCAGATATTACAAGAAACTTCATGAACAAGTATTCACAGGGGTTTAAAGACATGGGAGGGAATAATCTCACCTACAGGAGCATTCTAAGCATGGATATGTTTGGTAAAAAAAACGATCTGTTGAAAAACAACTGTTGGAGCGATTTCTAGAGTTAACAGCCAACAACTTTGTGGCTAAAAATGAAGTGGCTGGTTACACATTCAACATGCTGCTGCTAAAATTTATGGACATTCTAGCTTTTAAAGAAAATTTTCTTGGACTCCAGGGCACAATAGAAAGTTCAAGTCGTGGACTTATTCTGTAGCTTAGTACAAATTTTTTGCAATAGGGTTCAAGGAAAACATYAAGGTCCCAATAGGCTGGGCTGAGCTCTGGTTAATGATGAGGGACAAGAAAGAGTGATACTGTTCTGGGGCTCTTAAGTATCGATGGGTCAAAAAGAAAATGACCTCCTGAGCTCCCTGTTGTCCTGAAACAYCTTCTTGTACACAATCACTCTAGTTCTCCAGGGTTTTTCTAGCCAGACTAGCCGGGGCAAGGTGCTGCCCAACATCCCTTTTGGGGCCATTTCYCCAGCATTCACATTGTTGACCGACCCTCTCTGACCTTTTCTGTCCCAAATACCCCAGGATGGCTTTGCATGCAGCTGTCGCTTCACAGATCTTTCACTTGAATAAAAGTGAAAACACTTCTGTCTGAGTGGCCCATGTGTGTGTGGTTTTGACTACTGAGACGTCACACAAACCAGTTCTGGAGATCTCTGCAGCTCCAATTTTCTGCTTGCGGTTCTAGGGGAAATCAGCTTTTGGGTGTGGCAATCAACTGAAGGCCATGTCCTTTGCCTAAAATCTGCAAGTGGAAATTGATTCCTCCTCTTGGATTTGTAGTCCAATGTATATTGCTATTGGTTTTAAAAGTTTTTATGATATGCTTCTTTTTTGTTTTAAAGCATCATTTTTTTTGGGGGGGAAAAAAAGTATAGACGAATGTTCAGCTAACAGCATTAGAGGCTATGTGCTTTTTATTGCTCTATGAAGACAAGATATTTTTTACATTGTAGTTCCTATTTTACTGAGCACCAATGAAGAAAGCTATGTGTTGAAAATAGATGAAAAAAGTA